TTAATTGAAAAATTAAGCTCTCTTAAATTAAATGTTAACGATATGAGAGGCCAGGGGTATGATAATGGATCAAATATGACTGGAAAACATATTGGATTGCAGAAACTAATTTATCCACGAGATTTGTTTATGCCATGCAACGCGCATACATTAAATTTGGTCATCAATGATGCAGCGAAAGTTTCTTTTTCAACTGTGGATTTTTTTAGTAATGTGTCAGCAATATACAATTACTTTTCCGGATCACCTTTTCGATAGCAAATTTTAAAAAAACATGTAAAATCGTTAACAGTAAAACAAGTTAGCGTAACCCGGTGGGAATCAAGGATTAAGGCGATTAGACCACTGCGTCATGAATTATGTGAAATTTATGACAGCCTAATAGAACTAGCAGAAGAATGTTCAACACCAATAGGTCAACATGAAGCTAAATGTTTGGCAATGAAAATTAAATCGTACAAATTTATTTGTTCCACAGTAGTATGGTACGAAATCTTAGAAAAAGTAAATATTATTAGTAAAATGATGCAGACCGTTTCTTGGAATCTTACTTCATGTGCTGAATCTATTAATAATATTTTAATTTTTTTCCAAAGCATTAGAAATGATGAAAGTTTCGAAAAGTATTCGAAAATTGCTGATGAATTATGTGAATCACTTGAAATACAACCGGAATTTCCTGTTGAAATTAATCTACGTCGACGCCATAAGCGAAAACAATTTGACTATGAAGGAGATGAGGATATTCAGTTAACTGCTAAAGAAAATTTCAAAATTATTTTTTTCTATGTAATATTGGATACAGCCATTTCATCTGTTACTACCCGATTTGAAACATTATCAAATTTCGAACAGTCTTTCGGATTTTTATATAAATTTGTTGAAATAGGAGAGGACGACATAAAAAAAAGTTGCTTCGACTTTCATAATAAATTCAAGGATGGCGAATCGTGCGACATAAACGGAGCAGAATTATACGAAGAGTTAATTTCATTGAAAATAATTATAAAAGATAGGAAACAACCCTAAGAACTCCTAAAGTATTTGTACAAACACAATTAACAAAGTTCATTTCCAAATGTATCTACAAGCTTAAAACTATTATTGACCATGCCTGTGTCAGTTGCGTCTGGAGAACGTAGTTTTTCTAAATTGAAAATCCTAAAAAATTATCTACGTACTTCCATGACGCAAGAACGTGTGAGCAATCTTTCAATTATCGCGATTGAAAGTGAAATTGCTGAATCTTTAAATATTCACGAAGCAATTGACGATTTTGTCAGTAAAAAATCCCCTAGGATTAACTTTTAATATGTACTTTATTTAATAATTGCTTCGTGAAGATTCAGCAATTTCACTTTCAATCGCGATAATTGAAAGATTGAAAGATTTCCCTAATTAACCGTTAACCTAACCGAAATAATTTTATGAAACCGGTTAATTAACCAAAAACCTTTACTATTTTCAATATCAATAAATAATACATAAGATTTGATTTTTTAAAATCAAATAATTTTAAATTGTCACTGAGCGACACCTAGGATTTTAAATTATCGTATTCCTATGTTCTTTATGTTTGATAATTTTGTCTGTGATTATAATATCAATACCATAGTTACTTTTTTCATGTTATTATTTTTGTTAAAATTTTAAATAAAAAAATGTTTATTTTGTGCATTTTTTTTTCTTAAATTTCATCCAAACATATAAATCTCATAAAACCGGTTTTTAGCCGGTTTTTCTTTTCAGAAACCGGTTTTGCGAACAAAACCAATATTTTTTTTCGTTCTCGATTTCGGTTAACCAAAAATTGATTTTTTTCCCGGTTTGATGCCCTGTGTATAATAATACACATTAAAAATTAAAGTAGTTTTTTTTTAATGTTATCCTGGGGGCGGCCATACAGACTGGCACGCAGGCGGCCATATACCCAGGCTCGGCCCTGTGTGTTGTTCAATGTAAATGGGTTCTAAAGAAAAAGTGGGATGTGGATGGTAAAGTGTTATATCGTGCGCGTTTAGTGGCAAAAGGTTACACACAGAGACACGGAGTGGACTATAATGAAACTTTCTCACCTGTAGTTAGATTTTCTACCTTAAGATTATTGTTTGCCTTAACTGTAAAAATAGATCTTAAAACAACACACTTGGATGATAAAGCAGCCTTTTTAAACGGACATCTTGAAGAAGACATTTTTATGCAAAAACCAGATTGTTTAGGTGATTCAAATGATGGCAAAGTCTTAAAGTTAAAAAAAAGCCATTTATGGATTAAAGCAATCTTCAAGAATGTGGTATAAAAGGGTTGATGACTGAAAAATCTATATATGAACCTTGTTTATTTATTAAAAGAAAAAGAAGTGTATAACTGTAATCGCTCTGTATGTCGATGATTTTTTCATTTTTTCAAATGATTGTAATGAAGTAATCAACTTAAAGAGGTCTTTAGAAAAGAATTTCAAGATAAAAGACTTAGGTAGTATTAAACAATGTTTGGGTATGAGAGTTGTGGGCAATAAAGATTCTGTAACATTAGATCAAGAGGGCTATATAGATCAGTTGCTAAGTAAATTTAACATGTTGGATTGTCATACATCAAATACACCAATGGAATGTAAACTTAATCTCAGTATTAATAATGAATGTGATATTAGCTTACCATATCAACAACTAATAGGTAGTCCGATGTATTTGTCTGTGTTAACTCGCCCTTATATTTCTTTTTCAGTAAGTTACTTTTGTCAATTCAATAAATGTTTTACTAAAGAACATTGGCAACATGCAAAAAGAATTTTAAAATATTTAAAGAAAACAAAACATTATGTCTTAAAATATGATTCAAAACTTAATTCTGAAATAATTGGTTATGTTGATGCAGATTGGGGCAGTGATGCTATTAGCAGGTCATATACAGGTTATATATTAAAAATTGTCAGGGGCTGCAATATCATGGGAAAGCAAAAAACAAAAAGTGGTTGCACTCTCAAGTACAGAAGCAGAGTATATATGGATCTCAGAATGTTGTAAAGAAGCTATTTATTTACAAAACTTACAATGTGAAATCACTAATAGTTCATATACAATTATTCTGTACAATGACAACCAAAGTGCACAAAAATTGTTATCAAACCCTGTGTTTCATAATAGGTCTAAGCATATAGACATAAGATTTCATTTTTGTAAAGAGATTGTTGCTAAAGGGTTTGTAAATGTTCAGTACATATGTACAGCTGATATGCCAGCTGATTTTCTGACAAAGAGCTTAAGTTCAATTAAGCATAAAACTTTTGTAAAAGCAATTGGCTTAGTTGAAAAATAAATTATATACCTATTGAGTTATTTTTATATAGTGGGGGTGTTGGCGCAAACGCCTGTTAAAATTGTGGAGCAATTTAGCATATAAAGGTTACGGAACGATTTAGATGTAAGGCGCTTCGTCTATTGTAATTTTATTATTTACCTACCCTGTCATAAAATATGTAACACAATAAAATTATCATTGCAACTAATCTACGCCTTTTTAATATCTCCTCGTTAAATACTATCAAAATCCGCAACAGGGGGTGTTAGTTTATAAAAAAATAATACAACTAGCGTTATCTAGTGGTGAATGTGTAAGACATATGTAAGTGTTGAGTCATCCAGAAAGGGACGCAACGATCATTGCCCGAGCGAGAGAGGTGGCACCGCGGCGGCCGACACCCGTCTATCAGTGAGCTGTGACATCGCTCGACGCGCACACGCATACCCGTCTTAGTTCAAACTTATATAGAATAATACATCAATTTTATACAGTCCACCTTCTTTTAGTTATCTCCGCCGAGCTATCGAAACCAACAGTAAGACACATGTAGTTTATAGTTTTGTCTATGAATAAAGACAGTTCGTTTTGGCGTAATAAGCAAGCACGTTGTTTTATTAGTTTAGATACTCTTATAAGTTCAGTATTCCCCGAAACTGAAAATATTACACAAAGAAACTTCTCTTGGCTTTGTTCGCGAGCAATAGTGTCACCAACTAATGAATCTACTAATGAAATAAACGGTATTATAATGGAAAAAGTTCCCGGTGATTTTAAACAATATAAATCTATTGATAACGTATGTAACATTGAAGATACAGTACATTATCCGCAAGATTAAACTCTCTAAATCCTGCTGGCTTGCCAACACATGTCTTACAATTAAAAGTAGGCATACCAATTATGTTGTTAAGAAATTTGAGCCCACCCAATATGTGCAATGGTACTAGACACCTGGTTAAAGAACTAAAGGAACATTTAATAGTGGCAACAATCATCACTGGCCCTGCATCCGGACTAATTGCTCACATACCGCGAATACCTATGATACCAACAGATTTACCAATATCTTTTAAAAGGCTACAGTTCCCCGTGAAAATATCTTTCGCCCTTTAAATAAATAAGTCACAGGGGCAGACGTTTTCGACAGTAGGCATCGACTTAAGAAAAGAGCGTTTTTCCCATGGCCAGTTGCACGTAGGCCTTTCTCGAGTAGGATCTCCCGAAAACCAGTACATATTACTGCCACAAACCAATTGCACTGCTAACGTAGTATATAGTGAAGCTTTAAAGCGATGTGTAACGAATTTTTCACTGTATCTATGTTTTTCATAATTAATAAAATATTTTTTAGTACCCAATATGTATCATTACATTACTATTCTATTCGCCAATAAATGAGTAGGTACGTTAATGTACTTACTATAACTGAAGGTAAGTACTAATAAATAGTTTGGAAATATATATGTGTAACTAACAGTTCCCCGCAATCCACTCAAATCAAATTCTCAAATCAATTCGTAACAAACAAACAAAAAAATTTAAGGTAGTACCTATTTCTTTTAATCATTGGAGAGATAGATTTTTATACTTAAATATCAGGATTTCCGCGGGTGAAACCGCGAGGCGCAGCTGGTTATATATATGTATGTAAGTGAGCTGTGAGTTTCAAAGACCAAGTAGTGCAGGTTGCAGGAGTATCAAGTTGCATGTTGCAGGTCCACAGATGTATATTCAATGTAGCGAATCAGTGGAGAGAGGCGAGGAGCGCGCTGAAGGCGGGGCGGAGCGAGACTGTCAGCTGGCGCGACCCTGGACATGAAACATATAACATATATTACAGTACTTTATATATATATATACTAGTAAACCCGGCCAACTTCATATCGCCCTATAATCAAGAAATATCTGTTACGTTTTTTATTTATATTCTTGGAGTTTACCTATTAATGCCATAAATCTCCGTGTTTTGAAATGCGACAGAATGATTGACATATTAGTTAGTTGTCAAATCTAATGTAAAAAAAAACGTTTGTATCAACAACTACTAATAAATTAAAAATTAATTTAAAAAACACTGCCCAGCGGACAAAATTGTGAATCTAAACAATTCCCAGATCCCCTTGAACACACACAAAAAATTTAATAAAAATCTGTCCAGTCGTTTGAGAGAAGTTCAGTGACATATAGTGGTGGGTCGTTGACGATTTTACAGTCGACGCAACGAGACCGTTTACCGTCGACGATAAACTAGTTTAAAAAACAGTCTAATTTTCGACCAGTTTACGTCGTCATCGAAAAGACTACTTCATCACATAAACGATTAGTGAACGTGAACGAACGAAAGTCTCGTTTACCAATTTGACGATGTGAATAGGTATGTACATACGTCGTCGTTTAGTAAACGAGATTATTGAGAATGAAATGACATATTGTTGAAATGAACTTCCCTTCGTACTTTTTCCAGGCTTAGGACTGGCAAGCTTATTGTCCATACTTATATTTAAATTAGTATGTAATAAACTTGGCGTATTTAAACCGACCGACCGCGAGTGATTAGTACCATAGTACCTATCGGCATCTGTGAACTATAAACTAGTTTTATCGTTCACGTACAAAAAACAGTTTAGGTAAACGGTTCGTTCATACAACGCCCACCTCTAGTGACATACACACGCACAGACGAATTATATATATAAAGATAAGAAAATTATTGATAATCCGGCTTTTATGTTGTTGATAATACCATTTAGACCGCAACTTTATCTGATTGACTTCATTATTGTATTCATATACAAATAAATAATGTGTACTCGATAAAAACAAGTGTGAATTAACCGTCAGCGACAGCTATTGGCAAGTATTACACACTTGACTTTACACTACATACAACTGTCATGAAAGTTTGATGCAAATAGTATTCATATTAAGCAATAAATTATAGCCGATATATTATTATGACGACTGTTATTGTTAAATTTTATCAAAATCCGTTTAGGATAATTAACATGACAGGACGACAAACATACTGGCAATATTAAGGTGAATAATGAAAAATCGCTATGATTTTTGTCACAGAATTATGGAAGTTGGTTAAAAACAGGAGTTATCCAATATAAATTTTAATGTTGGTATTTAACAGTTAATTATATATTTAAAGTAACTACCAACTTTTTATGTTATGTTTGAATACACTTTCATTGTTTACAGTCAGTTAGTTTGACCCTTTATACCCTCATCATACGGAAAAACGCTCAGTCTTTTGTTCATAAATTTTTAGATATATAAAGTATAAAAAATATAAAAATGTATATAGTATCGTATGTAGTTGTACCTTGCCCTCTTTGATCGCAATAACGTATCTCTGTGCGACGCGCTCGGCCGGAGAGTATCCATCAGCGTACGACGAATCCTGGAATAATTAAAACAATTGTTATTAATTATTAATAACTACTATGTGTTGTTTAGGTTGTTTCTTCAAATACGGGAAAACTTTGATTATCAATAATGTCTATATAAAAAAGTTATTAAGTAAGCGCTAGCTAGGGGTAATATGTTTGAATATCTTTTTTTATTTTCGATATATACTGCAACGAGGTATATGAATTCACAATATATATATATATAAACTTTGTGACGTACGCGCTACATATTAAAAATTAAATTAACATCTTCGTTGTATGGATAAAATATCATATAACGAGTGACGCCGCTGACTTCGCTGAACACCAAGCCGTGTGTACCAGAAGATTACTGATAACCACACAAGCTTTGGAATAGGATTGCTATTTTAACATCGACACAATCATGAATCCTAGGTATAGGTCATAAGTTTTAACATGTAATTTGTATTATAAGTAAGTTTCCTAACTTTCCTGGAATCTCCGGTTGCCACCCTACGTAATTACTTCCCAAATATATTGGGTGTTTTTTTAAGCTAGATAGAACTTTAAATTGTAAAAAGTAACACAAAAAATTAAATTTTGATGAAACATTTTTTTTATTTGTTTCAGTATACTCTGACAAATCATAATGAATATCCCTGATATCGTACAGACCTCAAACAGAACCTCATATGGATCAGCGGCTGAGGCGGGCAGTCGGTTGACTATAGCTCGGTAGAAACACGTGGTCTGTGGATACAACGCCATCACCACCGCTCCCTTAGGGAACAAGGCGCCTTCATCTGTGCGAGGGTCCGCCCTCATAAGCGGGAGAGGCACCACGCGACGTTTACTCAGAACATGTCGGTTCTTCTGCTCCTCATCTATATCGTCCACCTCGTATTTACCCTGAGCCGGCAGCCAACTCACTACCTGCAAAATAAACACTTCTATGATCATATATGAATAACTTCAATGAAGAAAAATTTTTTATAACTGATATTATTGTTATCAAACAAAGATTTTTTTATATAGTATTCCGCATTCCAGGAAAATTACATCATATATATATTATGCCCAGTGGCGGCTGGTGGGTTATCGAACTGGTGGTTCACTTTACTAAAATATTGACAAAAACAACAATTGACATAAAATATGTTTATTTTTTGTACATTAATTCATAACTATATCCAACTCTGATACAAAGTCTATTAATCCACGAAACACTCCAGCATTACTGGACTCAATAGTTTCATCGTGACCTCGCAAAGCTAACTCAAATGCACCACAAAACTTAACACAATCGATAAGACGTGATAAAATGTATCTGTTTTTATCAACTTGTTTATTATACTTTTGGATATTACTTCTATACACAGAATCTAGCTGATTACGAATATCGACAGTGCCTAACACAGACAAACTCATTACATTTTGTAGGTGTACTTGTGAAGAATCGTGTTTTTTATTTTTTCACTTAAATGCGTCAAATCCTTGATTCCAGTTTCTGTCCAAATCGATTCTCCGCCAAAAATAATGCAAGGAAAACAAAAGAATGCATTAAGACGCTCACATCCACACAACCATTTCTTTCTATTATACATTTCACTTTTAAAACTTCGTATAAATGCTTTATTTTTCGATTTACACTCTTGTTTTAAATTTAAAAAGGGCCGTGGCGGCCCGGCCAATTTTATGTTCACTTTACTTTGAAAAATTTTGTTATTTTCTTTAATATAATCAATATTTATACTCATTTTCAACTAATAAAAAACACAGTACAGAATAAAAGTTCTATTATAGAAACGAAATAAAAACTAAAACGAATTACGGAAATAATTATAAACAATAACGAATTAACGCGTCACGCATACAGTGAAAGTTGAAACAATACCAATAACGATTAACGAAATGTCAATCATAGCACCCATCCTTTCGGCCGGCCCCTTGCCGGCCGGCTCAATACGTCATACATCGGGTGCTCTCGGTAATCTTCGGCCGCTTCGTGCGGCGCGCGAGAACCGACTCGTTACTCGGTACATTTCTATGAACTATCTTTTGTTTCACGCGTCAGGCGTATTAATGCGTGTCTCATACAAGATGTATTAGCAGTCCTCGTGCACTCGCCGGAGCGCACGATATGAGTTTAGTAAAGCCCTCAAACTTTTTGACCATAACTGGAAATTAAATTTTTTATACATTTTGTATGTTTAAAAAATAAATATTAAAATGGTAATTTAAAAATTAAGATGACATAATATTTTGTAATTTTTAAATATTTTGAATTGGTGGTTCAGCGCACGGGCGCACTTAAGGTACAGCCGCCACTGATTATGCCTATTGGTACCTAGATGAAATTAAATTGGGACACTTAATCTATATTCTAAAATCTAAACCGTTGTTAGAATATAAACTTCGATTTGTCGCTTCAATTGTTAAAAAACTTAAATGTAATGTAAAAGATTCCATTAACAAAGTACATAGTTAATAGAATATTGTACATATACATGTATAACAACCTCGGCCAGGATCCAATTCTCTTCTTTCTCTGAGACCCTGACTAGGGCGGCGACGGCGTCCCCGGCCCGCGCCACGTGCCCCGAGTCCGCTGGCACAGCCCCACATAATGGGGGCGCACGCTCACCCACACGTCCTACATGAAGGGGCAAAGTCTGTGCAGCACTTAATAACATCTTCATCAGGGCTCCACAGCCTATTGTCTCTTTGTTACCAGCGTGTCGAGCCTGCAGTCAAAAATATTATATACTTATAACATTTGGGATAGTAGCTGATAGCTGATAGATAGCAAATCTGCATAACTACCATTGAACTGATGAAACCGATTATGAGAAGAAAGTTTAAGCTGAAATATTTTCTATATTAACGACTTTTAAGGTAATTTTTTCACAATTAGTAATTAACTAATTACAGTAGGACCCCGATTATCCGGACCTCGGTTATCCGAATTCGCGATTATCCGGACTGCCAATCGCGACGAGTTTATTTTAACATTAACATGTCAGAACTTGCATAACGCCACGCCGCTTATAACTAGGGCCCGGATATATATGTGTTAAAAAATCTAAAATATGTACATAAAATATGAACGAAAAAATCAAAAATATGGAGTATAAAAAAATACTTTCATAATTAAACATTGTTTTACTAAAAGAAAAGGGTCACTAGTGGCGTACATCGTTAAGTTACATTTAAAAAATGATGAAAAGAAATATTAATTTCAACAAAAAATAACAGTTTTATTCAACTTCCATTGCACTAGCCTTATCAAATTGGTTGCAATACACAATGACATGCTTCTTTAAATTATCAAAATGAAAACTGACCATTTGGTTGAAATATAGCCTAATATTTGCTGAATGATCTCTCCACGTGACATGACGTGATGGATGCATACCTAAAACATACTTAATTCAGTAATTGTGTAAGCCATGTCTACAGCTCTCAAAACTTTCGCTCAGAATATTGTTATTTTTTTTAGCGTATTAATCCTTTATTTTTATCGAAAACATTAGTGGCGGGAACGTAAATTTTATCTATTTTTGTGAATATATGGATGATTCTGATATTTTCTTGAAAAATATGGACTTAACTTTGAAATATGGTAAAATATGGAAAATAAAAGTTGGTTTTTCACAGTCTAAATATGTCAATCCATGTAGTAAACACATTCTAGACCGAAAATCGCGTAAATTAAAAATATGATATTAATCCGGGCCCTACTTATAACACTCACACGTACATTATGTACAATTTCTTAATAAACATTGATTTTCGCTCATATGTATTTGTTGGTTTAAATAAACACCTAACATTACATATGTATGGTACAGACTACATATGTACATATGCAAAAAGCCCTTTTTTCTTCATATATTGGATTATCCGGACTTTCAATTATCCGGATGCCTACCGACAACAATTAGTCCGGATAATCAAGGTCCTACTGTATCTTGTGTTTAATTTATTATTTATTTAGATACACTATAATATCAATTGCTACACCAAATAATCTATCTAGCTATAACTTTGCTAATAATTATTATCTTTTCTAACCCATACAACTGCATTAATTTTGTAGAATTTTCACATATTAATACCTTTTTACTTGTTAGGCTATTGTATTTCGTAGCATTTTCCACATATAACTTGAAAATCCAAATAAAACTTGTATTATTATAACAAACCTGAATCCTCCTCTCATTTTTGATAGCTCTTATTTCATATATTCTTGATAGAGCCGCCCGAAGAACTCTCTCTTCTTGTTCAGCTGCAGTTAAACCAGCTTTATACAAATTTTTAAGCTGCATCTGTTAAGTAGTTGTTCTATATTTTACCACATATCAATATCAATACTTACTATACTAATTTTTACCTATAACCTTACTATTTACTGTGGTAGTTTCATTGTAAAACATATTACGGACAATTCAATTTAATTCAGATGTATTCTGATTGCTAGTTTCTGGAATGTAGTGAATAAACATAAATACAAAATTTCAAATGATATAATTTTACAGAGATGGCATGAAAGTAATGTTTTGAGTTGCCAAAGATTTGATGGAACTTATTCAAAATCAATGAAGTAAAAAGTAATTTTCAATGGTTACAATTCATTAAATTAGACAAAACCACAGTTTAATAACCTGTTGAGAAGAACTCGAAGAATCTTCGGCAGAGGATGAAGATTCTGCTGCTTTTTCAACTCTTAAAATTGATTCAATACACTGCTCATTGCGACTTCTCTCTGCCTCTATGTCATAGATTAGTCTGTGCAGTGTCCTTAGTCTTTCCTGGAATATATCATCACTGTATAACATTCTTTTCACACATAAAACCTTTTTGTATGATTTTGTTGTTTACCTGGACTTGCTGTGCAGCAACATCGGCGGTTAATGGCATTATTACAATTCAGATAATTTCTTACTTAAATATATAACGTGAAGCCAGCTGACGCATACAAAAACCTGTGAGGATAGATGGCTATAAAAATATAATAAAAGATTCTTATTTATACAATTTCATAAATAAAATATCTTACCGCTATAAGTACTGTCAAAACTCTGGGTTTTAACATTACACTTTACAGCATAACATAATTCAAGGAAGTGTTTGTAGAAGCAATATTAATCAATAATAACAATAATACTACTTTAGTTCAAATTGATTCAACTCTACTGTTTTGGGTTTATTGTTTAAGAAGAAAAAATTTACTGTCAAGTGTCAGTTTACACTTTACTGTTGACATACTAACTATAATCAAATCTAATATAGATAGGTATCTAAGTATAATTCTTTTATATTATAAACGTTTGCAATTAAAAGGTAATGATTGGCTGAGAATATATTAATATTACTGAGCATTTTCATATTTTTAATAATGGTACTTTTTACCAAACTGTGTGTAATTTATTTGTAATTTTTTTATGTGGTCTTAGTTAGTTTAAGCAAGTCTTAATATTAAAATTTAAGTTTTAATATGCTCTTAATTATATTAATAACTTTATTACATCTGTCATTATTTTTGTTACATTTTAGAATATTTTAAAATACCCTCATTGTGTAAAGACGATAACGGAAAACCATAAACAAATATAGCCCACTGGTATCTTTAACAAAAGTTGTCATCTGTGTCACTATTTGACAACTAGTTGTTTGGCGTTAAGATTTTATTTTTCGCTTAAAAACAAATCTGTAAATATCAAATTGATTATAAGATGTTTCCTAAATAGTAATATTTTAAGTGAATTTCAAAACTGTTAACTACATGACGCCGATAATATTTTCAAACTAGGTCATTTAGAACTTTCTAAATTGGTTACCGGTACGTCAGATAGCTTCTAATTTTACTAGTTGTAGTAATTGTGTGATATATAAATATAATTATCATTATTTCAGATCGCGTGTGTGTGGTGTTTGATTTTAAGTTTTAATATTTTTTTTTATATAAGTGAGTGAGTTGATATGGCAGATAATGACGATTATTTAGATTCGATTGACAACAACCATCTAGACGGAACCAACGGTTCATTAAACATGACCGACAACAGCCTAGGCGTAAGTACTGATGCATTCTTTGATTCGTAATTTAAATATTAATATACCATGTGCAAACAAACTTAATAATAATGACAACAGAAATAAATAACACACACTTAATACATAACTATTATCCGTGTCGTATCTGAGTTACTGTGTTGTACGTTTTACAACAGATTTTTAACATTTAAAAGCCATTACTATCAATAAATTTCAATAATTAAAATTTTAATTTTACAAGTATTATAAACATAGATTATAAAGAATGCACACGAATTCGTAAATAAATTGACGACATTAATTTCTAGACTCATTTATTTACTCTAGGGTGATGAAGCTTCAGGTACAGATGTACCTGACCTGGCCGCGATTAAGGCCAGGGTTAGGGAAATGGAAGAGGAGGCAGAGAAACTTAAACAGATGCATACAGAGGTGGACAAACAGATGAGCTTAGGAAGCCCGCCGGGACTGAGTAAGTTATATATACATATTGACGAGACATAACTACTCAGCATTCCACGGATTTACCATGCAGGTGCCGATATCATGAAATAAATATGTTGCCGATCATTTAAAAACATATTTTTCTATTTGAATTTTCACAATTTATTAACGTACACCTCTATTGGCAGTATCATAGATCAATTCATGTAGTTTTAAAACTTTTTCAGTGCCTTGTTAATGAATGTGTAAATTATACTTGATATTAACTTTCCTTACACAGCGAGTCCCCTAAATATGTCGCTTGAAGAAAAAATTGAGACTGACAATAGGTCAGTTTATATTGGCAATGTTGATTATGGTGCTACAGCTGAGGAACTCGAGCAGCACTTCCATGGCTGTGGGTCTATTAATAGGTAAATATTGTAACATTTGTAATAGATATATAGAACTTTATATGAAAAAACTTAGTCAGTGATTCTCAAACTGGGTCCATCATTTCAATGTTGATTTGTAATCACCTATGGGGGATTAGAGATTCCCAAACCGGATCTTTAGTTTGATATATGAGTTTCAATGTTGTTTTATCATCACGTTCTGTAAAATAAAATATATGTAGTTGTTGTACTATCAACTTGAAAGTTTTTGAACCCCTTTTAGGTATATGTATATTCTATGATATGCTTGTTTTATATTGGGTGAGATACTATGTTGTAGACTGTCTTTATAATACTAAGTAGAATACACAATATTTTTGATTATAAAATGTCTATTTAATTAATAATGTCACTATTAAACATACAGAAATGCTGTTGCCAAAGTAACAATAGACAGATATTACTGTATTACAATTAAAACTAACTATATAACTGGAATTAAAATGTATATTAAATATGTTATATTTCAGGGTGACAATATTATGTAATAAGTTTGATGGACATCCAAAAGGATTTGCTTATATTGAATTTGGAGACAAAGATAGCGTTCAAACCGCCATGGCGATGGACGAGTCATTGTTTAGAGGCAGGCAGATAAAGGTAATATATTTACTTAGTAATCTTTTCCTAATAGAGTATTCTATTACTGTGAATTTGTACAATATTGAACATAATATTACCCATCACAGCTAAGAGTTTTGTATATTTTTTTTGTTAAGAATACAAAGCTTTTATTATAAATTAGGTCTTACTAATAACAGTATAGAAATTTATTACCTAAATAAGTAAATAATAAACATTTAGAAATAACATTTTGCATTATTTAGATGCTTATATGTATACATTTTGTTGTATTTAAACTGGTGCATATTAGTTCTAATGATTTCTGTATTGAGATAAAATTGTTGTATTTGAATCCTTATTACACATTTGAATTATCCAACTATGTAAGGAGCGACTTCAGTTTTAATTCAAATATCCTTACACATTATAGTATCAATGTTAATGTGTAAATATAATGAAAAACTGTAATGTCCATATTTAATTTGATTTTACTCAAAACTCAGAGATTTTAGTTATTGCAACAGTCAATGAAATTTTTCTTATTTAATATTTACCAATGATATTGTGTCCAATTCTCCATACATTTCTTAATTATATTAAAAATTCTCTTTCTATAATTTTTTTTATATTAATTTTCTATCTGATAAATGTGCCTGAAGTAAGAAAAAAAAATATTAATAAAGTGTATTGATGTATAAACGAAAAGTCAGTGGTGGCCTTGTGGTTTAGAAGCCCGCCTCTCAAGCTCGAGGGCGCGGGTTCGATCCTGGCCCGGGCAAGTACCAATGTGATTTTTCTGAGTACTTTCTAAGAGGATTTTAGACATCACTGATTAATGTTGATTCCTAAAAGAGGGTTGATGTCAGGCAGGCGGCCGGTCATAAAAACAATTAGCCAATACTATTCACAACATGTAAGGCAGACCCTGGCTATAGCTGGGAAATTGCTAGGTAGAAGATTGATGTATAAACGAATTGATATAAGCGGAATTAAACCTACGACTTCCGTTGTATCATTTCCCAGTCGATTTGCCAATTAAGCTAACGTGCCCGCACTAGTGGCGGGAATCAATAAAATATCCCGCGCATACACGCTCTAACATTCGCATATTGTAATTGAGAAAAGCTCTAGTAGTAGCTATTTAACTATTTAATTTTTAGTTTCTTAGTAAATTTGAACTACAATAAAGTTTTTTATATTGAAACAATGTACAATAACCTTGACAATGATGTACACAAAACATGTATTTAGTATGACGTTACGTGACACAAACTATAGATGTCACAACTAACCAGTTCAACCGATTACCATATCTATAATATATATTTCTCTCTTAAACATAACTTAAATCGTTACTAGAATAACTGTTAATATTTTTAAACCACATTTACTAACAAAGCTTTTAAACTATTTACGTTTAGTTGCAATAATATGACAGATCGTATTTGGCGGCATTTTTTTTTCAAAGTTCAACGTCTTTCGTACGGCAATTGGGAAGGATTTAATCAAATTACAGGTGTTTCATGTATTAAACAATTAGAGATATTTTTATTAAATACATTTTTAAACTAGATTATTTATCCTGTCTGTGCGTTATAATGGTAACAAACTAATTGATGCGTCTGTTATAAAATAACATTGACGAAGTTTCTGTCACATACGTTATTCATAGTTTAGTCTAGTATTACAAACTAATCCTACTAATATTATAATTGCGAAAGTTTGTGAGTGTGTGTGTATGTTTGTTACTTCACGCTCAAACCCCTGAATCGATTTTGATAAAATATTTTATACAGGAAGCTGACGTCCAGGAATAACACGGGATACTTTACATCCCGGAAATCCGCGGGTAACACCGTGAGGCGCGGCTAGTATTGATATAGTTATATGTATTTTCCAGGTAATGCCGAAGCGTACCAACAAGCCAGGCCTATCGACTACAAACCGTCCACCTCGCGGTGCCAGAGGTCGCGGTCGATCCTACCGCGGTGGCTTCACGCCGTACTTCGCCGGCTACCGGCCCATGCGCCGCGGCAGGTACTACCCATACTAACTACCGCATACAAGACACCGCTCCACGATAGTGTTGCATTTATTATTTTACATGTACCGAGTATTCAATATCAGTACCATAACCACAAGTCTGGATTGTCACTACTCACTAAATATGGAGTGTTTAAAGTTTTCATTCATTGATATATGCTCGTAATTTCGTGGTAGCTTTATTCAGTGTACATCCAGTCTATATAACGTTTTGTGTTTTTCGTATACTAATGTTTAAAAATACAAAAGAAAAAACTAAGTACATAGTGTAACAATTCAAAACTGTGGTTAATCTACTGAGCTTTCATTTAACAGAAATGTTAATAAATTGATGAATTATCTGCGTTGATTATACGGAGTAGACATTTTGGATTCAAAGAAAAGATTTGATTTAATATGACCTATCTTGAAACATCTATTCAAAGTTTCTATGATACAAAATTCTTTTTGTTTTATAAAAAAATTACATAATCTGGCCTTTTATATGATTATTTTACAAACATGTACAAGCATTGTAGCTGATTTAGGCATGGCATGACATTTGATATGTATCTTTAGTACAAAAGTGATTGATTTATTAGTTATTTTATATATACATATTTGGAAAAAAAAATTGCATGTCTAAAGGAGGTTTTGCTGGATTTTTTTCTTTAAATAGAACTGTAGCAGCAATTAGATGTTTATCATAATAAGTACATGTGTAATTGAGACAACACTAAAGTGGAGCCGGCAAATTACATTGTTACTTCGGATGTCATGTTTGTAGATGCTGTTGTAGCTTACAGAGAATGTTTCCGTCTGTGCCATAAGAGATGACACCATTTTTTTGTATAGAATCCTTGGTTATTATTTTATCATTCTGATGCACATATCTCCTGTACACTAACACTTCACTTCATAATGCATAATTTTTTTAAGATTTTAAACACAGTGGCATCTCTTATGTTGAAAGTCAGTATGTAGTTTTATATAAAGTGATGGTACATGAATGTTGAGAAAAAAAAATATTATATTTATAAAATAAAAGGAATATAATACTGGAACTGTATTGAATAAAGTTTATGATGGACATTTATGTATTTTTAATGCTATATCCTACCTTCTCTCCTTGAAGCTTTGTTGCATGGTAGACTTTCCATATGTTATTTATACACTTCTCTTGTTTCAAACAGGACTATAAACATATTACTATATCACTGTGCATGATATGTACATTCTATATGTTTATGCTAGTGCTCATATATATTATAATGAAGTGTTATTTCTAATGGCGCACCTTATTTACAGAGGTTTCAGGCGAGGCGGTTATTATTCACCTTACTGAGTGTGGTAGTGGGGGCTATGCCCCCGGCCGCGAAGATATTGAGAGGGAATGCCTTGCTAACGGATAGCCTTGTGACCCTTTAATATTGTGATCTGTGACAGTGTAACAAACTTGTACGTCCCATTTAGATAGGATGTCAAATTGAGTTATTTATAGATGAACTATTTGTTTCTGTAGTTTTGAGAGTCCAAGTGTTGATATCTGTATGGTAATGTGTGTTGTTGATATGTAATAAATTATGGGATATATTGAAGGGCGCAATGGTGAAAGTGTTAGTTGTAACCCGAGGACGCGTCTGTCTGCTATACAAGTGATATAATTCGTATCTGCTGGACTATTTTCAATATTAATACATAGGTTGAAACTCAGTTAAATAACTGATATAAGTATAGCTTAGTAATGTTATGATACATGTTCGAAGGGACTTACAAATTAGTAATAAATCCTAATGTAATATAGAATTAAACGAAATAAGAAAAATAATACTACTAATTTGGCGGTAGATTTATGGCAATGACAAGACCGACTTTTTGTTTTAATTTTACAATTTATACCATCATCGCATAGGGAGAGTGCTTTTGCGTCTTTAAATTATCCATACTGGTAATTTCATACATTTTAATTAACAGTTTTCACATTTGTCAAGCCAAAGATCTATTATCAGTCTTAACATCATTTTCAGTTTAGACAAACAGTATAGTTTTAATACTTGATCCTATTAAATATAGCAGGTTTTAGTGTTACTCTCGCATCGGTATTTGAAATACTGAGAATTATTTGACCCCTCAGCAACATCAATATTTTTAATATGAAATGTTTAGTGGGTCACGGTGTAGGATTTTAATCGTATGTTCTAAGTTAATATAGAATATCATTTCCATTATAATCCCACCACAATTTTTCTTATTAAATTATACACAATGTGGAGATTCAGTTCTTAATTCATAATTATAATGAAAATAAAAATAGTAATATTTGTTTCGTTAATCAGTTATGTTGTTTTATCTGTATTGTCGTTAATTATCATGCCCTCTTTTTAAGTAAGAAATAAGGTTCTTCTAAAAAGGTTAATACAGTATTCTGATATGGTATGTAAAAGTTTAAGTTGGTAAGTTTTGTGTTATAAAACAGATGAAGAACGAGCAATAAGTCTACTTATTGCTCGTTCTTCATCTGTATTCAATATCTATATTGTCTGCTTTTGTTTAACAGCTTCGTAGGTGAAAGATGTATGTTTATTATTATTTTATACAATCGTTTAGAAATAATTGCATCTTTTTAAATTTATTAAATACATTGTGACAAGAATCCCAAAGCTATAGCATAGCTTGTCTTAAGAGAAAAGTTGAATGTTTGGTAGCTCTGGTAAAATTGTTTTTCAATTCTTAAGGAATCTGAGGATTTGTGTTGATTTACATATTAAATATTAAGTTAAATCATTTATTTTGTATGTGAAATTATTTAAGTAATTATTCATATAGCAATTCATAATTTTTAGATGACAATATCATGTGTATTTTTGTAAAAGCACAAAAAAAAATATTTTGTATTTTCACGTAATCTGTACGAAATTATCATAATTTTAGTGAGTATTAATTTTTAAGGGTTTCTTTTTTTATTTGCTTCTGTTTTAGAAATGTAAGAAAACATACAAAAGTATTCAAGAAAACTCCTTAACAATGTTGCATCTGATTTTTAAAAAATACAAAAAAAAATCAGTGAAATATCGAAAAAGGTGTGCAAAAATAACAATAATTTTAAGACCTACATTTTGTGTTTCATTTCCTAGTCCTATTTAATACTTCAAGTGAAAAAGACAATAATTCAAAGTTCCAAAATGAGAAAAAATAATATACTTATCCTTAAGAGGTTAAAAATATATATCTTTAAACTTTCACTAATAAATTCATTATCAAAATTCGTTTTTTTACTAAAACTAAACCAAAATTGGTTCTAAATTTCTGGAAATATTGGTATAGCATTTTTGTTTCTTTCTTTCGAAATTGTTAAAGTTTATGAGGAATCATTTGAAGAAAAATTATTATAATTTGAAATAAATTCGCATCTTAAACATATTTTAAATATCCCTACTAATATTATAAATGCGAAAGTAACTCTGTCTGTCTGTCTGTCTGTCTGTCTGCTACGCTTTCACGCCTAAACCACTGAACTGATTTTAATGAAATTCGGTACAGAGATAGAGTTGACCTTGAGAAAGAACATAGGATAGTTTTTATCCCAGACTTTGGAAAGGTTCTCTTGGAAACGCGATATAACCGAACTCCACGCGGCGAAGCTGCGGGCGGAAAGCTAGTACAGTATAAGGTAAATCTGACATTTTATACCAAATAAAATTGCTTATCTATATTCTACATCGAATTGTCTCATTTTTAATGACAATGACATATCTAGTTTGAAGTGTTTTGAAAAAAAGTAGAAACATTGTTTTAGACTTTTAATGTTAACTTGGGATCTATTACTACACTGTCAAAATGTCTGTTATAGGTCCAGAGTTTCTAAATTTTATTAAAAGGTTAGAAGATAACGGCGATAAATTAGTTCCTGCCTCTCCGACGGAACAACCTTTGGAGTTTGAATTTAATGTGCGTTTCTACATTGGACTTTATGATTAGTTGTTGCGATACGAATCCTCACATTACCTATATATTTCAGAACTCCAGCTGTTATGTATGCAATGGATATTATGGGCCGAGTTTTGGAGAACCAGTATGCATAACTTGTCATGCGTTTTTGTTTCCCGACTTCCCTTCACATTTGCCAAGTTCATACTTTTGTAGTGAAAAAACTGATGATGGAGACTCGGGGAATGACGAGCCCTCAGATTTGAACTATAGCTCTGAACGGAGAGTGAACAAAGCTTGCCCTTTACCAGCATGGTGGTATTACAGAGTGAGTTATAAATTTTTTAAGTTATATATAAACGTAAAACTCTTCTATTTATACGATTTAAAAAAGTATGATTAATTTTATGTGGCTAAAAATGCAGACATTTCATATGATAATAACTGCATCCATTTTCCAGCACTTTGCAAACTTAAAATAGACAAAATTCTTATAATATTCTCTTTAACAAATATTTATAGAATATATCATTAAGAGTATATTTCATGATATGTACGAGTTATAAAACTGTTATAGAACTCATTAGACAGTGAAACGAGTCCAGAAGATGAGAGTCGTGCCAGTAATTCAGGGCCTGGAGCTAGTGGGGGCAGCGGCTCGGGCCCATCATCTGCTCATCGAGAAGGTGATATTTTATACATGCAACTAATGTAACTATTAAATTGATTGCAATTTAATTTGTATGAAGCCATAATCAGATTATAAAGTAATTGGTTTTGCTTACTTAAGACAATAAGCAACATGACTGTACATAGTTGCTTCATTAATCTTCATTAATAATAACATTGAGTATTGATTCAAACCAGTGCAAACCATATGGATTGCATAAAAAATTTTACTATATAGCCCATATAATGAAAAACACATATACATATTTATCAAATATATACTGTTCGTGGTACAGTTTCAGACTTGGCTGAAGTCAGTATTTATAGTTTTGAAAATACAAGGTGATACTTAAATATTTTCATTACACAATTATAATGGTTCAATATTATAAATAATTATAATCACTCATAATAATCATTTTGAAGATTATAGTATACTATAATTACTATGGGACAGATTGCGTCATTTGTTACTCCTTCTTCTTCTTCCTGGCAATTTCCCAGCTTTAGCCAGGGTCTGCCATTTGTTACAATATATATCATATATTATTGTGCAGGTATTGAGGACTTGGTTGGTCATGGGCCTCCACCACAGCCGCCCAGCCTAGCACTGTCGTTGCAGGCACTTTCAACTCCTCGGCCACCAGATAACTTAGCTCCTGGTTTGGTAGAGCATCTACCAGCTGAAGGTATATAATATATAAATACACATACATATATCAAAAACAAAATCTGTTGATAACTTTTTTGAATGATACCTCAAAGAAAGCAAGAAATTGTTAAAGCTCTATACTGGAAAATTTAATTCATAATTTTACCATTATTTTTTTATTTGTTTAATCTAACACACGTTTTTGTTCTTGAATGTGTTGGAAATACAAAGTTATTCTTCATGTAAATGCAGAAATTTAATGTATGTTTTGTTATAAATTTCTGCATAAATTGTAATGATTACACAAAGATATTTTTTGTCAATTCGATATACAAAAAACTCATTATAAAAGCTTAAAGTCGACAGTATAAGTACGTTTTTAAAATATTTTTCGAATTTTATTATTTTTAAACATGTCGTCTGCCCGTCATCACGGTTGCTGCAAAGTAACCGAAACGTTGGGAGTATGTACTTAGTTCTTAAAAATGGTAAAATACACCTAGTAATATGAAAAAGATTAGTTTCATTTAAATTTTTTATACTCAATTGGTGCTAACAAAATATAGAGCATAAATTGTAGAAGAATAATATTTGACATTGTTAAACATAAATTCGTACATAACTGGTACATTTAATAACTAATATATTTATTGTTCTACCGTCAGTGTTGCTGTGCATCTTCCGTTACCTGGACGACCTGTCGTTGTGTGCGTGCTCGTGTGTGTGTGTGAGGTGGCGCCGCCTGGTGGTGGCCCGGGTGCCGCCCCCTCGCTGGGCAGCCTTCGCAGCCACTCGGTGGCCTCTGTTCAGGCCACTGTTGGCCAATATTGATTGGCACAAGGTGGGAATTATATGTAAATTAGCTATGAGGATCTTTGTCACTGTAGGATCCCTGGTCCTACATGTAAGTATAACAAGTCACTGTCTCACTACTACCCCGCCTAGAACGCAGGCGTACGTCACCGTTCCACTCCGTTTTAGTCATTAGACTGCCGAGCGCATGCCACCCCCTCTAGTGGGGTACGTGAGACAGTGTATTATATCTATTGTACAGATACATACACTACAGTCACAATGTTTTATTGATAGCTAAGAATTGATTTCTTATATATGTCAGCTTGTAATTGGACCAGTATAATTGTTAATTATTGAATCTGCTAATCTGGTTGTGTTTATTGCTTTACATAAATAAAATAGACTAGAAGGTTTTATGTTTATGTGATCACTAAGTAATCTTATTCTGAAGTATATTGGGCTATAACGAAATGATATCATGTTTATAGTTGAATGAATCTTATCTTGAAACCCGCAACCATTTTTACATCACACCCAACTATAATTGTGCACTGGATATTATTTTAAAAATCTTTGTTATTATACATTATAAAACTCCAAGTATTGTATGAGAAATGGATATATTAGTTATATTAACTCAATATAACTCTCCAGAAGTACCAATCGTTGGTGGAGTCCTGTTTCTGCCGTAATTGTCTGGTCCAGATGTTTGTTCAAGCTCAGCCCGCTGGAGATGAGAGTGCTTGGAGGAGGAACAGACTTAAGATTGAACTTAAGGTAACTGTTATTACTTATTACTTACCATCTAGGTTGAGTCTAGCTATTTAACTTTGTGGTCTTGTGAATTAAATAATATAATACATATGTACATGTACCCACTACATAGTGTCAGATATTTTTGTTATAGGTAACTTTTTATAACTTACATAGTAACCTACATAGTAACTTTTTATTTATATACAAGCTATAATTAAACTTTTCGGTATAACTGAAGGAAGGAAGTTATATGAAAGACAAAAACTAGGAAACTTTATTAATTAATTATACTTAATAGTTACGTTTTTTTTTTATTATTGGTTTTAATTATGTGCTTTAATTTATATATCTAAAACAAAATAGCGTTAGATAATCGTCTGATGATACATTGTTCTACTTATACATAATCAAAACTATAGCTTTATTTTTCTTAACAATATTTTCCCCAGATGCTCCGTAATGATCCTCCAGAGGGCATCGCAGCTACTCCTCTAGATCCCAAGTGTTGTCACTGGCAGGCTAGTGTGACTGGGCCTGTGGGCTCGCCATACGAAGGAGGAGTCTTCTATCTATACATACAAGTCCCTTACTCGTGAGTTCACTTACACATATAAACATTAACAAAATATACTTCACTAGAAGACCCGGCGAACTTCGTATCGCCCTATAATCAAGAAATATCTGTTACGTTTTTTATTTATATTTTTGTAGTTTACCTATTAAAGCCATAAATCTCCGTGTTTTGAAGTGCAACAGAATGATTGACATATTAGTTAGTTGTCAAATCTAATGTCAAAAAAAACGTTTGTATCAACAACTACAAATAAATTAAAAATTAATAAAAAAAAACATTGTCCAGCGGACAAAATTGTGAATCTAAACCATTCCCAGATCCCCTTGAACACACACAAAAAATTTCATCAAATTCGTTCCAGTCGTTTGAGAGAAATTCAGTGACATACACACTAACAGAAGAATTATTTATATAAAGATATACATACACGGTAATGTTTAACTAAAAAATGCACCTAGTGTTGTGTGTGAAAGAGATAGAAATAATTGTGAGCAGTTAGCAACTAGTTAACCTTCATACGTGTAGTCGCACGCACACTTACACCGTGCCGAAGTTTGCCGAAATAACACGACGTTCGACGATAGGTGTTAGGTTAATTTCGTTACGGAATTTCTGGAATTAGTCCCCACGCTCAAGGACCGCGATAAAAGATATGCAATAGCTTAAAAAATATTGACAATACCTGTATTTAAATCTGTTACACTCAGAATATAAATTTTCAGTTGTTTTTCATAATGCTACCTTGCTTTGAATTGATGAATGAAGTGATCTTAATTTTGTATGTGAAATTCAATTCAAACATCACATTATATAGCTATATAGCAATGCTATGCATATTATAATTTATATACAAACTTTATTTTCCTAACTCAAGTATCCAGAATACTTAAAAAGTAGCACCATCACAGTTACTGTACATCCAAAATAAGAAACTGATTTTTTTTCTTTATAAGCTTTTAACACTGTATAGTTTCTCAGTAAGTGAAATGTACAATGTATTTCTTTTGAGGAATTAATAAAGTTCTTAAGCCATATAGTATTTGGGAAACCTCAAAATATACAATAAAATCTATATACATATATAAAAATGAATTGCTGTTCTTAAGTCTCACTAAAACTGGAGAACGGCTGAACGGATTTATCTTATCTTAGTTTTGAAATGTTCGTAAAGGTTCAGGGAAGGTTTAAAAGCTGAAAAAAATTGATTCATTTCCGGGAAAACCCTAAAAACAGTCCTTTTCCATTTCCCATACAAACGTTTTTTTGACATTAGATTTGACAACTAACTAATTTGTCAATCATTCTAACAGATATTTCTTGATTATAGAGCGATATGAAGTTCGCCAGGTCTTCTAGTATACAATAGTACTGGTTTTTGACCACTAATGATGATTTTTTATCATATAGCTACCCCATGGGTCCGCCTGTGGTCCGTTTCCTGACTCGCATCCTCCACCCCAACGTGTCTCGTCACGGTGATGTCGGTATCGACTCGGTGCATCACAACTGGTCGCTGGCACTCACTCTGTCTAAAGTCCTCATCTCCATACAGAGTTTATTGACGGATCCTTATACTGCGGTGAGTGACGTCATCAAATAATTCTTTTTTGGCTTGTTATCTTCATAGTATATAAAGTCAATAGTACAAATTTTCCTATTGCTAAAATATATTAAATTCAAATGGCTTAAATAAAGAATGTAGATTGTACATGTTGTAGTCTAGTCGACAAGTTCATGTTTTGATTTTATTGTGATCTTTGTTGTTAATATGTGAAATAAATATTTAAATGAAATTAAATATATGTATTTTTAAGAGATGAATTTTTTCCTTGAGAATATACAGACATAAATATTTTTTACGACAGAAATATTTTTTATTAACCTCTTTCTGAATCGATTGTCCGTTGCTATTGTTTTAAACGCTCTCTCCATTTTTAAATTTTTTTTTAATGTGTAACAAAGAATATTGCTACTATAAATGTTGAAAATAAAAAATAAATTAATTAAATATTAATTATTGTGACAGGTTTGCATGGAACCGGCATTGGGTGACATGTACGTTAGAGAACGAAGCCGCTTTGAAGCGCTCGCTCGCCGCTGGACGTGGCGATACGCTATGCACGACGTACTGCCGCATCTAACGAGATATTAATTCTTACCAAGCTTTACAGCGCTTTCAGCTTATAGGGAAAATAATATTATAAATATTATTCTCTGTACCGTATAAAAAAGTTTTAATAATTTGTATTTTAATATTATTAACACAAGAATTAACTGTTAGATGACTAGTTTTGTATCGTGACCTTATAAGACATGCTGATCTCATGTTCCACTAATGTATGGAAGCTATAACACCGGGACATTTTTTACATACATATATTTCTTAAATTATTAATACTCGTAGAGATTTCGTATGTCGAATTGTGGGCTGAAGAAGTAATTTTTCGATCTTAGATCATGAGCTCAGTTGTAAGCAGAAATGTAAACATTTTTGTATATATTTATTATTCATGAAGCATATTTAGTATTTAATAAACAAGAAAAAAGCAAATAAAAGGAATATTACTTCAAAAATAGTTTTATTTTATCATATTAATTATTTGTTATTCGTTATCTAGTAGTTAAATAGATAAATAAGCAGTTTATTTTCTTTCTGCGTATGGTTGACGTTTCTTAATTTTCTCCCATATTTCCTCGAGTTTTTCACAGTTGCATAAAACTGGTAAACATTTCCCACTTGCCGGGGACCTACAGTAACCTGGGAAGGGCATTTCGCTTTTCTGAAGCCATCTTCTAGGTCCTTCCTTAAGCCATCTTCTAGAACCTTCGGTAAGCTCGGGTTCATACACCGAATGATCGACGAATTTTCTCAAATCATTTGCGTTTATTTCATATAATTCCGTGTGAAGTTTCAATCTTCCCGGCACAAAATAGTTCACGTAAAGCCATATCGTGATGTAACCCTGAAAAATAAATAGTTTTTACACTGCACCAAATATTCAAATCAATATTCCACTTACATCCACAGTTTCATAAAACGCCAAAGAACTAGCCATGTTACAAGTAAACAGAGATAACAAATAATTTTACGGTTTGATATTTCATTTAGAAGTACAATACACGACATACCTATTCTATTATTACGATGATTTATGCGATTCAAATTGGAAAATTATGCTGTTTAAAATTGTTACCGTACTTAATCAACAATTCAAAAATATACACATAAAATTTTGTTTACAATCGTAAAACTATCACTTAAACTCGTTTGTATAAATATAGGTACTTAAGAACCAACGTCATTAACAAGACCCTTCAAAGAATTTTCTTACATAAGCACATTGTTTTAGTATTAATTTTCACAGTAACTATACGTTATTACCCTAAGTAAAGTAAAACGATATTATCTTGATAGTACCGGAAACAGACAGTCAATATGTGTATCTTTAATAATTGGTTTAACAAATTATATTGAATTAGATTTCACAAAAGAATCATAGCCTTTTTCTGCTGATATTAACCGTTGGGACTGGCACCATCGCTCTGGAAATTCATTATCGTCACAAAATTTATCCTTTGAATGAACTTGAGTTATCCGTATCCAACGTCCATTTTCTCTTCCTCTAGAACGTCCTCTGGATCTTCCTCTAGAACGTTCTCTGGATCCTCCTCTAGAACGTCCTCTGGATCCTCCTCTAGAACGTCCTCTGGATCCTCCTCTAGAACGTCCTCTGGATCCTCCTCTAGAACGTCCTCTGGATCCTCCTCTAGAACGTCCTCTGGATCCTCCTCTAGAACGTCCTCTGGATCCTCCTCTAGAACGTCCTCTGGATCCTCCTCTAGAACGTCCTCTGGATCCTCCTCTAGAACGTCCTCTGGATCCTCCTCTAGAACGTCCTCTGGATCCTCCTCTAGAACGTCCTCTGGATCCTCCTCTAGAACGTCCTCTGGATCCTCCTCTAGAACGTCCTCTGGATCCTCCTCTAGAACGTCCTCTGGATCCTCCTCTAGAACGTTCTCTGGATCTTCCTCTAGAACGTCCTCTGGATCTTCCTCTAGAACGTCCTCTAGAACGTTCTCTGGATCTTCCTCTAGAACGTCCTCTGGATCCTCCTCTAGAACGTCCTCTGGATCCTCCTCTAGAACGTCCTCTGGATCCTCCTCTAGAACGTCCTCTGGATCCTCCTCTAGAACGTCCTCTGGATCCTCCTCTAGAACGTCCTCTGGATCCTCCTCTAGAACGTCCTCTGGATCCTCCTCTAGAACGTCCTCTGGATCCTCCTCTAGAACGTTCTCTGGATCTTCCTCTAGAACGTCCTCTGGATCTTCCTCTAGAACGTCCTCTAGAACGTTCTCTGGATCTTCCTCTAGAACGTCCTCTGGATCTTCCTCTAGAACGTTCTCTGGATCTTCCTAGAGAACAAACATTAAACACTTCCTCACCTGTATAAGTTTCTTGGACGCTAAGCAACAAAGTACCGTCCATATTGTTTCTTTTCTTCTTTATTGAAAAAAAAAATTACACTGTCACGTTAAAGCACCAAAGTAATGAATACGGTACGCGACACTGTATTGTCGCCTTTTATCATATTGCAATTGCACAATATTTCACAATGTTATGCAAAAATATAGTAACATTTAATACAGGTCTATATCACATTGTATAAAAGTTTATGTTTGTTTATCAGTAATTTTCATCCATTTCCAATTTTTTATAGTTTAAAGGAATTAGATGGAATAATATTGAAAAAAAAAATTATAATATAGTAATTATTGATCTCATTATATCTTTTGATGAAATGTGCGTTTTGTTTGTAGTCACCTTTTCTATAACTATAATTTAAGAGTAGACATATCTTCTCGTATTGTTGATTAAATATGTCAATCGTCGTGAGATAGAAACCTAATCTCATTTTTTATTAATTTGTTGAGAACCAAAAAAAAATTCTATCGCGAACAAAGTCGCTATCGTGATTTAGTTTTGCTCAAATGTAGTACCACTTTATGTTTCACAATATTTCATAATAATGGGAATTTTCCACTATGAGTCATATATTTAATGACACTTTATTCTGGGGAAGAAATCAAAACAATTGTTACGTCATTTAATTTATTACTATCTTAATCATTAATTATTGTAAAATATTTTACCAAAATGAAAATTTGTGTAATACACTAAGAACAAAATTATCGAGGTAAGAAAATCCTAATTATGATTATCAAAATCTGTTTAAGAGGTCATCAGCTAATAATAATTATTTATGGGGAATTTGAAATGTCCATATTGTCCGGTGAGTTCTTTTCATCGGTTACGTCTATAGTTTTGTGTGGAGTTTTTTCCATTATCGTTGGTAGTGGCGAGCGGTCACGTGACTTCCTCTCGTGAGGTGTCTTTGAATCTCTATGGGAGCGGCTCTTGGAGCGCCTGCCGGGTGAGCGGGAACGTTTCCTGTCTTTGGAGCGTGATCTTTTCCTTTCTTTGGAGCGCGACCTCTTTCTTTCCCTCGACTTGGTCCGCTTCCTATCCCTAGATCTCGATCGTTTCCTGTCTCTCGACCTGGACTTCTTCCTCTCTCTGGAGCGGGATTTCTTTCTGTCCCTGGACCTCGATCTCCTTCTTGACCTTGAACGCTTCCTCCTGGACCTCGACCTTGACCGTCGTTTCGACCGTGACCGTTCCCTCTTCCTCTCCTTGGAGCGGGACCTCTCCTTCTTCCTGGGCGACTTGTCTTTATCTAGTTCTATGGTTTTTTCTTTATCATCAGCGGGTGTGGACGCTTTTGATTTATGTTCAGACGAGCTGCCGTTGGTATCGACCTCAGTGATGTCAATCTTGAGTTCATCTTTTCCGTCCCTGGCCACATCTTTCTGTGGTGACTTCGTCTTATCATTGTCTCGTTTATCCTTATCTCCGACATCTTTTTTATCTTTTCTGTCGCGTTCTTTAGACTTCTCCCGTTTGGATCTCGAGCTGCGATGTCTGGACCTGGACCTGGAGCGCCGTGAACTCCGGTGACGGGAACGAGACCTGCAAACAAGATATTGAAGTTTTAATAATTAAATATACATTTTTTTATTCAATTCGATTATAATCCTAGCTTTAAGTATAAAAAAAAATTATAACAATTGACAAAATCTTTTATGTGGACCACCAATTATGTTCACAGTAAATATAAAAGAAACATAAAAAACGATCATTAAATGTGAAAAACATCTCATCTAAATGTGTTCTCAAAAAAGACTTAAATTTAATAGATTGAAGTTTCAGATACAAAGGTTTTTTTTTATCACCTAAACATTTTACAAATACTTATACAATTAGTAACTGGTGTATAAATAATGGCACAAATCAAATACTGTTTTTTTTTAATATAAGGTAAATATCAATAGAATAGAATACTAGCTACGGACGTAGCTACATTCGCGTAAACATCAGAGTTGTTCTCTGCCACAACGGACACTGAAAATGAACTGCAGTTCATTGTTCTACCCGTGTAATCTTAGGATTGATGATGAAAGCAGTGGCGGCTGGTGGGTAATAGAACTGGTGGTGCACTTTACTAAAATATTAAAATTAGAAAATGCAACAAAACATAACGAGATGTCAATCATGACCCAATTCGTCATACATCGGGTGCTCTCGGTAATGTTCGGCAGGTCGTGCGGCGCTCGAGAACCGACTCACTACTCGGTACATTTCTATGAACTATCTTTTGTTTCACGCGCCAGGCGTCTTAATGCGTATCCCATACAAGATGTATTGGCAGTCCTCGTGCACTCGCCGAAGCGCACGATATGAGTTTAGTAAAGCGCTCAAACTTTTTGACCATAATTAGGAAATTTAATTGTTTATACGTTTTTGTATGTTTAAAAAATAAATACTAAAATGTTAATTTAAAAATAAAGATGAAGTAATATTTTGTAATTTTTAAATCTTTTGAATTGGTGGTTCAGCGCACGAGTGAACTTAAGGTACAGCCGCCACTGGATGAAAGTAAAAAAAAAACTAAGGCTTTGGAATCCAAACTGCATATCGTGTTTTCACCCGTGTATTTTTGGGATCGGAGAAGGATCTGGAGTCGGTATAAAAATACCCTATGCCTTTTTCCAGAGTTTCATCTATCGCTATACCAAAATTCAACAAAATCGATTCAGTGGTTTAAGCGTGAAAGTAAGTAGACAAAGTTATTTTCGCATTTATAATATTAGTAGCGATTTTATTTATTTATTACATTTCGAAAACAACCTGCAACTCCTTTTCAAGCTTCATGTTTGTATTTAGCATTACCTTGCACCGCCAAACAAAATAAAAAATTTGTCATGTGTAACAGTTACTAATGAAAGACTGAAAACTAAATGTGTCTTGGTTTGTACAAAGTGGTAAGAATACTGAAAGAAAGCAAGCCATTGCGAATATTTGCCAATGTTTTGTTGAACAGTGTCAGGCTAACTAATTTGTCAGTTGATGAAATACTGTCTTGAATACCATATGCTTTGAGCAAAAGTTTGTCACCATTAAAATGTAGGTTGAGATGTAAAACTCATCTCATCTGAAAATAGAGATTGCAAATAAACTGAATTGACAAATATGTATTCAAGAACCCAAAAGCACTTGGGTGAAGATTAATGTCTTTTAATTCGATTTACCTAAACCTAAAGCAAGAAATGCTGATTTATATAATCAAACAATTAGTCAAGTCATTGCCTATAGCCATAACCTCTTAATAGCTAACAACGACAGTTAATTTGACACTAAAAAAGGAATTACTTGTAATAGGAAACAGTTTTTATTTGGTTTTATAAATCTTTGAAACAAGGAAAATGTTTAAGACTTTTATACTCGTATTTCTTATTTTGACACTGCTAATTTCTTTCAGCTGTAGTACAACTCGCAAAATTGTGTTTGTTCTTAGAAGACCTACATACATTTGAATTTTAGATATTTAATATAATTGGTAATGCAGATAATCATGAATCCCTATTAGTGATGGTTGGATAACTTTTACTGTAATTGAAATCAATCCTTTTTTATTTTTATGCTTTGATTTTTTTTTAAATCTTTCATGGGCTTACATTCTAGTCATTGAGAGGAATAAGATTAAATATACATATGTATATTTCTTCCAAATAATTACTACTAGTTACTTTAATTATTGTTAAACAGAAATTAACTCTCAATACCAGGTTAATTACCAGGCTTGTGTGGAATTTGTACATACACATTATGTGTATGATTACATTTCCAGTTTTTTTAACTCTATTGATAATTTAGAAATGCTCTTTATGAGACAATGCAAACTAGTGATAATCTTAGATGACACATTTCACTTGTAGTCTATAAATAGTATCATCATCATCATCATTATCATCATCAGCCTAACAGAGCCAACTGCAGAGCAGAGGCCTCTTTTAATATGGAGAAGGTTTGAGCATTAATCACCACGCTTGCTCAAGTCATTTCACACGATTTGAAATTATAAGTCCAAGTTACCTCAAGATATTTTCCTTCCCTATTAGTAGTGTCTAAATACTCTTAAGAAGTATATATGACTCGGAAAAATCACATTGGTACTTTCCATGTTTCAAACCCGTGCCTAAAGCCGTACATAAAGAGTATGTGTGTATGTATGTACATGTACGTATATATGTATGTATGTATATATTACCTAGTGCGGTGTCGATGCCTCGATCGTGATCTTCTAGAGCGATGTCTAGACCGTGAGCGAGAGCGCTTGGAGCGATGTCGGGACCGGGAACGACGAGACCGGGACCGGGATCGGCGGCGGGACCGGGAACGAGAACGAGTCCTGGAAATGATACAATCATTCATTCATAAAGTTGCTAAGGATTAATATGTTGGTATGAATGAGTAATAATCAGAACAGTTATTAAAGAATTGTATTGTTTATACATATTATTAGTGCTTAAGGTATACTAAAAAGATATAAGATAAGAGAACAATTAAGAAGACCATTGTATGGAAATGTTGCATTTTATTGGTGCATGCTTTAAAAAGGAATGGACTGAGAGAAGACAAATTTGAGATAAAAATAAGTTCAAATTGTTGTAATTATTGAGATGGAAAAATTTATAAGATTACATCCCTACTAATATTATAAATGAGAAAGTAACTGTCGGTCTGTTACGCTGTCACACCTAAACCACTGAACTGATTTTAATGAAATTTGGTACAGAGATAGAGTTGACCTTGAGAAAGAACATAGTATAGTTTTTATCCCAGACTTTTGAAAGGTTCTCTTGGAAACGCGATATAACCGAACTCCACGCGGGTGAAGCTGCGGTCGGAAAGCTAGTTGATAATAACCATTCAACAAACCTTTTGTCCTTGGACAACAATCCAATAACAGGATCGATGGCAGCCGATATCAAGTTTTGGGCTTCCTTAACTCTGCACATGGCCTCTTCAATCTCCCTTTGAGCTGCCTCATTGCTCTTAGCCTGAGGCTTTGATATAGCCACCGTAGAATGATGCACCTACATAAGAAAATAATAATTTAATATAACATAATAAAACATCTGTTTCACAAACATTGACATTAAATATAATCTTGAATTAACTCTATATGACATGTTTTAGTATTAGAAAAATAATATTTCATATTTTACAACTGTGTTGATACTTGTATGTTTATAAATAATTTTCTTTGTATGTCTACCCCAATGATAGATGGCTACACATTGTAGTTTCTCAACTGCATCCTGCTCCTATAAAGAGATGCACTTTCAAGTTGCAACTTACACAAATGTAACATCTGCAATGTTAATGCAGATGCGGCCTTAAATGCTGCTGATTCTCTAATATGGAGACTCGAGTGTAGATCTGTAACATTCCAGATCCCTACTAATGTAGAATGAAAATAGAATATCAGAACTGAGTAAAAATATATGGGACAATGTGATAATATAAAGTTCATAATTATTAGTGTCTTGAGCGGATCCTGCCGGACTAGGAAACCCTGACTTGTGTCATGACTCAGCACTCGTCGCCCTGGACATTACAAAATAAAGGGCATATTTACACTGTTCCAACAAATGTGAGAATTGTTAATATAGTATTATAGTAATACTGAATTACCTTAATCACTTGGCCATTTAATGCGACTCCATTAAGCTGAAGAGCCTTTGATATGCTTTCTTGTTCTGTCATTTCTATCAGTGCATACTTTAAATTGTCGACTTCCCGTTCACAAAATCGCACGTAGTTGACTTCACCAGCTTGACTAAAGTGATCAATGAGTTGTTGAGATGTAAGTTCGCCCACATCTATAAGTAAAAGTGTTCTTCTTATTTCTTCTATTTTCCTCGAGTCATAAATGGCTGGTAGCGGCGGGTACGGTGGTAATCCCGCTGCTGCTATGTTAGGATCGTACGTTTGAATGACCTGGTTGGGTGGCGCGCCTTCCAAGGTGTTGATCACGTGAGCTGGCAAACGCGGTTCAACTGTACTAAGACCCGGCACTAAAGTTCCGTTGCTCGACATCTCTAGAGCTCTGTGCTCGTCAGGAATCTCTCCTGACTGCATGGGAATCACGATTAAAGCTCGATCTATGAACACTGTATTTGTCATATGCTGGGCGACGTTTACTGTCGCCGAATCATAATATTTCACGTAACATATACGAGACTGTACGGGACATGATACGTCCCTTATCGTTGGATACAATCTTATATCATCAATTTTCCCTAAATAACCAAATAAGGTTTGCATTTGGTCTTTTGTAGCTTGAGGGGCGATGTTGGTGACTTGAATCACCCTCGTACTGCTTGAAACCATTTTCGATGATTTACACATTTACTTAGATTATAATGAAACTATTACAAAACAGATATTAATGAGATTACATTTTATATGTATTCAATCACAGAAAAAGAACATTCAAGAAATATGCAACACGCCAGTCGCCAAAATGCCGCAATATGACAATTAATAGATAATATTAAACAGATTATAAAATATAGAATAAGTTACAAAATATTTTGTAAAACTTATGAAATTTAATAAAATAATATTATAACTTTTCGTATATATTATTGTTATTATCAATCAGAATCAATCAATACAGAAACATTTTAGAGTACATATTTTTTTTATATTTTTTATTATGGCATCATTGTATTAAGTTTTGGCGCCAAATCGGTATGTAATTTGAATTCTTTGAATCGAGATCATCGACGAACTTTTTGCGAAAAATGACAGAAAATATGGATATAAGTAATCTAAAATTAAAATTAAATTCAGGTTTGTTCTCAGTAATTTACTTATAATTTTTACATGTAAGTATGCCTTTATAACAAAATTATGTTATTACTTATTAAACAAATTTAAAGCCAAAAGACGTAAATTGGTAAACGATAGAAAAGAATTTACTTTACGCAATGAAGAACAATCGCTCTCCGAACAAATTGCCATGTTATCTTCGGAATCAGAATCATTAAGTCTTCAAACAGAAGTAAGTAGGATTAAAAAATATATATTGCTTTACGCCTTATAATTAAATAAAATGTGTAATGGATTACATACAATAGGATTTAAAGCAGAAAATCATACAAACCAAATATCAAATCGCTATGATAGACATCTGTGCTGCGTCCGAAAAAGCAAAAATTGAGAACCATAGTAAAGTCATTAAAAGCCGTAAGGAAAGTTTTGATCAACTGTTTGCTAATGGTAATTATAATAAACCTATTAATAAAAACTGTATCTATTTAATTATATTTCAAGTAAATGTAAAGTAAGAATAAAACTTATTAGAGATCCAAGAACATGAGGCAAAAAACGAAAAATTAAGAACCAAACGAGCCGAGGCTGAGGAAGAGCAAAGGAAAAAAGAAGCGAATATTCTAGAAAGAAACGAAATGAAAACTAAAGAAGCTGTCGCTATTGAAGAAGAATGCCTGGCGATAGAAAAAGAATGTAGCGTTCTTGTGGTATATAATAAATATATATTTAGTTCGTTGTTTTATTGAAATAACTATAACTGGAAAAGAAATGGGATTTTAAAATATACCTTGATAACAATATGTTATCCATAGTGTGGGAAATAATGATTGATTTTATTTAAATAGGAAGCCATAATAAAAAAAAATATTTAACTTTTTTTCTTGAATTAGTAACAAATTTAATTGATTGTTTTGAAAGTGCGAAATATATTACAGTAGATTTTAGGATACAATTTTGTTAGAAAATTCTGTTTTTCTTAAAGGTAATTTCTGTAGGAAATAATAATAAGTTATTTCTGTATGTACACAATGTATTTTGTACTAGATACAGATTAAAAATGTAACTAGATTTTGGACACACACACACAAAAAAAGAGTTTTGTTAAGAAAGTTTGTACTTAAAGGTTGTATAATTTGCCGTATTTTCTGATTTAAAAAAAAGTCAAATATTTTTACAGAAAAGAAACAAAGCCATAATGATACAGCTGAGACGCAAGCTTGTTGAAGCAGAGGATGTTCGGCGGAAACTCATTAAGAAAAAGGAGAACACTATCACAGATAACAAATAAATATGGTGGATAACGTCAGGCATTATTACTGTTCTAGTTCTAATATAAATCTTAAATATACCTAATTGGGTTTTTGAAAAAAAAAAAAGTATTGATTTTTTTTATGTATTTTAAAACTTTATTATTAATTATATTGGATTTTTAATGCAAAAAACTTGAAATATATTTTTTAAATTAATTATAAACAATTAAAAATTGATAAAATTCAAAAATATATCACGTGACTGTAAACGCGCCATGATTGGTCAGCATACTTGTGACGTCATAATGTTAAAGCAATTTCATAATAGTACAGTGTTTATGGCTATTATCTTTAACTTGATAAAAATATCTCAAATTTATTAGTGAAAAACGATTTGAAAAGTTTATTTCGACTATGTGTGATAAAGGATTTATAAAAGCAAAATCGGATAATATTCCTGATGTTAATATATTTTTATGATAACTAATTTTTTAAAAAGTGCGGTTTAATTTTGCTGAAGTTCGAGGTGCTAAGACATCAAGGTAAGTCTGTCAAAAAATACTATTCTAAATGAAAATTAGTATTTATTCTCTATTAAATATAATTAATAATTATTTCATTAAATCATTATTAATAAAATGTTATTATAACATTATAAAAAAACCAAAATAACATATATGTACCTACTTTAAAAATTTAAATGTAGTCTGATACAGAACCTAGAATGTTATAAAATTATGAAAATATCTATTAATTGAAGTCCAATTATTAGACAAACATATATATAGATTTACTATTTAATCGCTTTGAATTATCAATTAAAATTTTTTAATGCTACGATTCTAAAGGTTATGATTTGGAGCCCAGGTAAAAAAATTAATTATTGAACTATACTTATTCGATTTATACACTTAGATAAATAATAATTAATAACAATACTATTATGAAAACTTACAACGAAATGATCTTCACAACAAAAAAAAATGATTTTGTTTTTGAATAATCTCGATGCACTGCTTGAAACCATTTCTTTCGACGTTTTTTTCTTCTTGTGGAACATTTAAAAACATTTTTTCAGGAGTTGTTTTTGTAGTCTTTGTACATAATGGTACAAAACTTTTGATTATTTAACAATGCCAACAGAATTTACTAGATAAAAAAACTCAAAACACTGTACTAATTATTATATCTCTGTATGCTACAATGAGCAAAAACTAACATTGTGACGTCACACGCGCTCGGGTTTATTCACGAGCTGTCGGCTTGTCTTCGGTACTGAATTTAAAATTTAATTTTTATTTTGAAATAACTTTTTAAATATTGCAAAAAAAAATAAAATAAAAATAGTTTTGTTATTAAACTTATATATGATCTTTCCATTTATCACAAAAAAAAAATAATTCAAAAACCCAATTTGTTTTGTTTTATTTTAATGGTTGTTGTAATAATAAAAGTGAAAAAGAAATAAAACTATAAAATAATATTACAAAAAATCTAGTTGTCAAATATGAAACACTAGCTTTCCGCTCGCAGCTTCTCCCGCGTAGAGTTCGGTTATATCGCGTTTCCAAGAGAACCTTTCAAAAGTCTGGGATAAAAACTATCCTATGTTTTATCTCAAGGTTAATTTTATCTATGTACCAAATTTCATTAAAATCAGTTCAGTAGTGTAGGCGTGAAAGTTTAACAGACAGACAGACAGAGTTACTTTCGCATTTATAATATTAGTAGGGAAGTAGGGATTTATGTACATACATATAATAATATATGTATATATATATATATATATATATATATATGGTCATTTCGTAAATCTACCATATATATATACAGGGTGACTGGTGAATTACTATTTATATTTAAGGAGCATACTCGGTACATGATTCTCATTCGAATTATGTAAAAAAAATAGGTACTTAATTTTTGACCAAATTTCCGTATAAATAAATAAAGTGTGTACACGTTCCAAGTGTTCCTAGTGTGGACGCGTGCGGCGGCGTGCTGATACAACAACACGCCGCCGCGCGCGTATGTGTGAGTGTGTAGTGTAGAGTAATCTGTAGGGTGTTCATACGATGCGTAATTAATTACACAACTTTTGGTTAACTTTACTTAGAAGTTTATTAATATTTATTTTATATTAATTTTTATTTCGTCATATATGATCGTCAAATATCACGTCCTCAAATATCGATAGTAATTCACCAGTCACCCTGTATATATAAATATGGTAGATTTACGAAATGACCAGGATACCGTTATCAATGTAATATACATAATAAAATACTACATCAACTGCACGGATAGGTAAAAATAAAATATACGATGTTACAGAAGTAATGAATTGTTTATTATTTATTTACTAGCTTTTGCCGCGACTTCGTCCGCGTGGAATAGTGACTTCCGGCAGATTTTTGGTTCTTCCCACATAGTTCCCGTTCTTGCGGGGTTTTCGGAATGGTCGAGTTCCCGTAGAATTTTCAGGATAAAACCTATGTTTTTTTTTATTCACAATGAAGTACTCTTAACCAACAACATATTTATTTGTTTATTTGAATAAAAATTAAGAACAAACAAATTATTTCGACCAAATTAGGTAACATAAAAACGGTTTTTGTGTGTTAATCTTAAGTGATAGACATATACTGTCGCGGACTGTTTTTTGGATCATTAAAAGAGCTATTATCCTTTAAAACATATTTTTTGTGTATCTTGAACCGTTTTCACGGCGCACGCAACGGAAGGCTTCAAAGATGAAATAATTTCTCCCGTTTTTTATACATTTACCACTATATCTTTGATGTTATAGCCCACAGCCTTCCTCGATAACTGGACTATCCAACACAAAAAGAATTATTCAATTCGAACCAGTAGTTTCGGAGATTAGCGCTTTCAAACAAACAAACAAACTCTTCAGCTTTATAATATTAGTATAGATTTACCTATTATATTCTTAGGTTGATATTAAAGGTATATAATATTACGTGTAAAGGTACTATTCCTCTTTAAATATTATTGAATAAAACTAATATTTTCATAACCGTGATCACGGTTGCTGAAAAGTAGCCGAAACGTCGGGAGTATGTAGTTTCTAAAATAAAACGCGAAGTAAAATCCGAAAATATTAGTTTCATTTAAATGTGTACTCGCGAAAATCTTAGATCTCATTATCCGAAAATATTAGTTTAATTTAAATGTGTACTCGCGAAAATCTTAGATCTCATTATTATTGAATAGTTTCACATTTACTTTAATAGTAATTTAGTTACCTGTTTTAGTTGATTTTATAAGCCGCATTTAAATTTTTAGGACTGGTTTTTCTTTAATAACGTATATTGTAAACAATACGTATTGAGACCATCCAACCCTTAATTACATATATCACCATTCAATTTTCCATTCTGCTATAAGTTTTGGCGGCGTTTAAATATAAATTATTAGTGTTCATAAGTTTTAAGTCTTTCTTATTATATTCTTTTAATATACAAATATTTTATTTTTACTTTTCGTAACAAAACTTGTAACATTCTTTTGAATTTAGGTATAAATCAAGTCTTTATTTTTGTTATAGTTGTATTCACCCAAAATCTGCTTTATCTATTCTATTCATGTCTTGAAATGCTGATTTTGACACGTTTTCACTTCAAGCTACAGGCGTTTAACGTTTTAAAGCTATATCGAAGTTTTAAGCATAAATGACGGATGCAACATAAAAATAACTTGCGGCTGTCATTAATTTTTGAAAATCCTTGTTGGTCATAATTATTCTTAATCGTTATTATTCTTCTAAGTAAAAGAAAGATAAAATTCTTTAAAAGGAGAATAGAACTCTGTTTGAATTTTGGTACAAATACGACGTTGGGACGCACAAACGTATAGTTCAGTACGTGCGGACCATTGAAGAGATTGAATATGAAAAACCTTCAAGAAATATTACGGAGCGTACGGAAAGAAACCATATTAGTGACGTTAAAAAAGATGACGTCCATCTTAAAATAACGAATTTGTATTAAATCCGATAGCTACATTAAGTCATTAGTAGATACGATTTACGCAGAAGATTTGAATAATAATAATGATCTCCGTAATCAAATATTAATAGAGTCGAATGAATTTCAATAAATTAATGTATAATATGTAAAACGATATATTTTAATAAGTATCAAATTAAAACGATCCAAGACCGTGAGAATCGCACAATATTTAAATAAAACACATAAAAACTCCTTTGATATTATATTTGCACGAACAAAAACCCGCCAATACATTTTATACATAGTCCATATATACACCAGGGTCGAAATAAGGATTTTTCGTGAATATTTACATAATAATTACATTATAAAAATATCGTACGTCCTAAATACATTTAGAAAGAAAAATAAAAAAAACATAAAGCAAAAAAATAATGTTTAAGTCCTAAAATGATTTCTAAATAGCAACTCTTAAAATCACGATTTTTCGTCTTATATTAATTTATATTTTAATAAACTTATCATATTTTAATCTGTGTAGGCACTGGGGAGATCCGTATTACGCAAGCATTCTTTGTATATGATGTATATAATATATAGACAATTTTATTTATAGAAGAGACAGTCCTAGTCCTACAAAAACAAATTAATTCAAACACTCTCTTTAAAATATTTTCATAGATAATAAACTTATTTCTCATGTTATGACGTCACTTTTAAATGCAGTATCATTCAATGATTCTATCACTCATAGGAAAACGGTAGATAATAAATAAAAATAGACTTAATTAAGTAGCGGCGAAAACGGGAACCATTTTTTTTAAATTTTATATAAATTAGGCCCTGACCGCAAATGTGAGGATTTCTCGTTCTTAAATGTCTACAAAATAAATAGAAATGTTATGTATCGCATCGAACTTATAGTAACCTTTGCAGAATCGTTATATACTTGTATGGCTTCACTAAAAACGATTTCATTCAAGGACTGTCTTTATTTAAGTATCAACATACAAGAGCGTATATTTTAATGGCTCTCTCATACAAGGTAAAGAAAATATACAACATTAACAAACACGTAAATACAATAAACATCAATGGAATGTCCAATTTAATTCGTCGTCGTAACAAATAATAATATTAACAATAAGAGAGTACAACATTAAAACACGACCTCTCAGTCTTAATTCGATGTCAGTAACACGTCAATACGAATGGCACTAAGGAATCTAAGTACTTCTCATATTAGGAACATCCAATAAATTTAATATAAAAAAAAAATTAAACATATAAAAATATTTTTTATACATCCGATACACTATAAGCAATGGCATATTTTGTACATCCCTAACATTAATGGAAACAGATTATACAAGACAAAAGGTGATTGACTCCAAAGAGTATATTAAATATAGGACACATTGGAACAGATCCGTTTAAAGCTTTCATACATGCAGTATAGGAAGAGTATGATTAAATACAAACAAAGATATATCCATAGAAATGTGTCTGTTAAAATACAATTATATTATGACTTATGATACATAATAATTTTACATTTTCATATCTAACGTTAGAAATAATGATAACAACTGCATTGCCTTTGTCCATTTTTATTTCTCATAACATATAACATTCCAATTCCATATTTAAAACGATTATTCCTATATCTAAATGGACGATTCATTTTTTTTATTATCTATTTCTGATTTAGACTCTGATAAACCGAATAAAATTATACTGTATATTTTAATAAAGATTTACATTAAAAAAAAATCCGCTGAGTACTGAGTATATGTCTTAGATATGTTAAGTTCGAGAACACATTGAGACTCCTGACGTTACAAACTAAAATGACTAAATAGCATCCCATTATTACTTTCCCGATGACTATCTATGTAAAATATGTTATATATGTTCCAAAAATATATATAAAGCGGTTTCAATTATGTCACTCAAATCAGATATAAAAAATTTAACTACATATATATTAAAAACATGAGCAAAGTGCCAGGACAAAGACAAGACAGTAGATCTAAGCCCGCATAACGGGCTGAGGGTAGGGTCATACACTCGCACCGAGTAACCTTTCATCGGCAGACTGTTCCTCATCTTCCGAACCTGACTTGTCCTTCTTTATTGACTGATATCTAACCTAGAAATCAATATTCAACATTATTATTAAAAATTACTTAATCAGACACAACGGTTGGGGAAGGGCTATAAACTAATTACCTTAGTCTTTATTTTACTGCTGACTCCCCTCGGTCGATACATGAGGAAGTTGTCGGTCACCCAAAATATTAGAATCTGTTGAAATATATGTTGATATGTTATAATTCACGTAACATCAAATATTATTTCGACACTATATGTATACAATCTTCTATATATATAAAAATGGATTGCTGTTCCTTAGTCTCGCTAAAACTCGAGAACAGCTGAACGGATTCATCTTATCTTAGTCTTGAAATGTTCGTGGAGGTTCAGGGAAGGTTTAAAAGGTGAGAAAAATTGATTCATTTCCGGGGAAACCCTAAAAACAGCCCTTTTCTATTTCCCATACAAATGTTTTCTTTGACATTAGATTTGACAACTAACTAATATGTCAATCATTCTGTTCGACTGAAACAGGAAAAACCTGATTATTTATGGCCTCTAGGACGGAATAGAGTTCGCCCGGTCAGCTATACATTTATTACTAATGATGAAATTAACGCGGACGAAGTCGCGGGCAAAAACTAGTTGTACAATATTTTTTCTAAGTTTACTTTGGTTTATTTAATGTGTTCCATTTTCAACTACTACATTTTATCAAAAAAGTATTTATATATACCTGAATGGAAATATGTACTTACATTAACAAAGAATGGTATAATGAGCATGACAACAGCCAGCTCCAATCTTGGGTCAGAAACTGGTGACAGTCTCAATGTTGATAAAACTGCAACGACTGGAGGAAGTCGCAATACCAAAGCTAGTATTGACTTAGCAAATGTTGCCAACGCAGCATATAGAATACACTGGCATATCCAGGCAGAACACATTGGAGGTTTACCTGGTGTGAAATCATTGTTTTAAGATGTGGCAATATTAAAAAATATATGTATATCAAAACAAGGCTGAAAAAGACCCATGTCCAGTGAGGTAAAAACATTTACAAAAATTTATATATCAAAACATAGCCTTCAGATCTATTGTTATAATCTTGATATTTTTTTAAACTTTAAATATATTAATAACCTTTAATTGATCAGTTGACCGATTCAATATCATGCATAAAGTGTTATAAAAACATAATTAGAATTTTATCTCAAATGTCCTAGATTCTTCTTTACATAACTACACATAACGTATTTTATATACTCAACTTACCATACTCTCCGAAGTTAATGAGTGGTATATCATAAATCCTTGCACAGTACTGTGCTAGTCTGATTCCGGCCCAAATTATCAATAAACCGAGTGTTGAATCCAACATAAAATTGACAATGTACCTACAAAGATATTCAGTGTAAAATATGTACAGAAATATACTAAAATGGTTATATATACACACATAGTATATCCATATCAGCAACATATATTTCGATCTACCAAGTGATCCACAATTTAATAGCTAACCATAATGAATTCTAAGAGTTCGTGAGTATTCATTTAAATGAAACTTAAAATTTTAAATGTACTAGGCAATTATTATTTTTGATTATAAACAATATACTCCTGACCTTTTGGCTACTTTACTGCAACTGTGATCACAGGCAGACGAGATGTTAGTTTCATTTAATAATTAACCATTAAACATTTAAAACATCTCACAGTATAGTTTTCTTTGTCTTGGACCAAGTGTAAAATTGACCATTTTTATATGTGATTGGGTTTTAAAGTTTATTTATAACTCTGTCTTACCAAGTGCATGGATTACCAGTTAGATGTGGGGAAAGCCAGACATTAGCAGCATGAATGATAAGGGCACCGAGCCCCTGTTTTGATGTATCATAGAACCAAATTAACCAAGGTCGTCTAGCATATCGTGGTTCACAAAACCTTTTACCTAAAATATTACTTAACATTAAGAAGAAGTACATTAAAATATTCTAAGTTGAATACCTTAATTAGATTATAATATTAGACATAGAAGAATAAACCAATTTAAATCTTCTAAGGTGACCTACAATATTCAAGAGATCAAAGTTGATATTTGCGATAAATAATAAAACTAAACATTATTCTAATATAAATAAGAACGATACAAAAACTTACCTATGAGACATGTAAACGCTAAAACAGCCAGTAGAAATTGCATGAACCACCCATATGTATCTGTGAGTGCATCTTTTGAGCAATGAAGTTCAGACCAGTAAATATAATCGGAGCTATTATTCATTTTTCATAGCTATAAATTTCACGGTCACCACATGAGTTAATAATGCTTATCAACAACTTGTGATTTTATTAATAAGCCGATACTTAAACGAAATCATCCATAACTAGTTTAGTAGCAAAACTACAGTAGAAAGAATTCTCAAAAATAATGTATATTTAATTAAAAACACATTCGAAAATCGCAATTTGTTGACAATTGTGTAAGATCGGATTGACATGTAACGACCTGACACAAGGGCAGTTGACACATAGGTAATTATAAGCTTTGGATACGTTGATATCTCGTGTTATATTTCTTAAATATTTATCAAAATAACCAATAAATTAAATGTTTTTGAAAGTAACGCTAATGCATGTGTAAGAAATATAAATATAAATTAAACAAATTTGTATTAACATATTTCTATCACGACCAAGTAATAACTTAGTCTATCTAGATATAATTACATTGGTGGGTTGTGGATTCTCTATTACGAGGTTTGCAAGTGTTGTATCAATTTAAAAGGATAATTTCCCGAATCTCTGAACTATAATAAAATATTGAGTATAATAAATAGAACTTCATAAATTTTCAAAATTAATTTATTTAAACCCATTTTCGTTATTTTATAATCTTATACTAATAAATAAGGATCATGTTTGTGTTAGCTAAAATATGTATATTTTAAAGTAATGCCTTTACAATTAATCTTAATTAGTATAATATTTCATATTAAAACCCTTATAAATAGTCTAGACATTAATTAATACATCAAGTAATTTATTATTCAAATTGTCCGTGGTATTATTTTAATTGTTATACATAACATTTATTACTCTTATATTGCTTACCAACAATTTAAAAATGATTATATTTTGTATGCATTCGTTACACATGTATATTTATGAAAAATCAAATATTTAAGGGATTAATTGCAATTCGTTTTCATTTACACATGAATACTATAATATATAGTTATGTATGTTCATTATTATTGACCATATATATAATATATGTACCTATATCCAAATTTACTTACATCCATATATGTTTGTATAGCCGCAAGTGGCAACATTAAAAAAACAAACTGCTTTACTACTCATGCTGATATTGCCCGCCATTTTTTATTGTTTTATGTATTTTTGGTTTTATTTGTTCAATAAAACGATCTGTGAGAAGGAAAAATATATAGGACATAAATTAATTGAAACATATTGATAACCTGGACGAAAAATACGCTTGTATCGGTGAGTACTAACATATCTTTTATGTTTTGCATTACTAATTGTTGAAGCTCACGTCATTTATCGATTATTTTTGAACTCTATTTGTAATCAATAATTTTCAATGTTTATTAATTTTTTTTGTCGCATTTCTCCCAAAGTTTTATGTTCAACAAATTTGATTGGATACACTAATATAATATTTTTTGGTTATGTATTATGGACTAGAAATATTTTTTTCAACATGTACATATAATGTTTTAGGCTCGTTTTACGATTAAACGGAATAGCATTCACATAAAATGCTATCGTATAATTAATAATTATTTCTGGTACGACTTTGTTTGATATTTTTATAGCTGAAACATAATCGTGAATATATTTTTATTCTCGAAAAATAATATTACATTTGTAAATGTTATTAAAAACTTTGATATAAAACATGGTTATAGACGAAGCTAAAGATTTTTAATGTTTTATTGATTAATAATTGAATGAGTTCCAATATTTATATAGGTCAAGGGAACAAATTTTATTAAGTCTTATTGATGAAATTCTTATATTGATTTAATTGTTTAATGACTACTTTTCATATAACATTGAAAAGAATCGTACCATTACCATTTGATTATAAGCCAATTTTTAAAATTTCGTGATGTTTAAGAAATCAATTTGAATTTTAGTTACTACTATACATAATTTTTGTTTAATTATTTCAAAGTAAAAAACTTAAAGAGAACCATCATATAATGATACATAATTTTAATTAAAATAGTTAACTTAATTGTAACCTGTAACTCATTTAAAATTTAGTTATGTATCAAATAGTATTTATTGCACCATAATAAATTATAACTACAAATAAGTAAAGTTTAGAAGTGACATTTAATTTTGTAAGACTTAAAGTAATGTGTAAAGTTTTATTTGGTATTCTGCCAGATATGAGAATAGCATTTTAACTTTAGGTTCCGCTACAGTAATTTGGTTAACAATACTTCTCAAGACTATTTAAGGGGACATCTTGGTCTTATAGTATTACTCATACATACATTTTATTTTATATTATACCAAATCTAACAGATATTCCATATGCATTAGAATATGCCGTTTATACTATAATTAAATTAATTAAATATGGCATAGATTTTTTTTTGTTTTTCCGGCTTTGGATACAAGTCCTTTTGAGTATGGCATAGATTACAAACCAATAATGCCATATATAAAACATTTAGTGTTTCTTTTTTTATTTTACTTTTATGCAACAATCATTGGTTTCATTAATCCATATTTGTGAAATATTTATTTTCTTTATATCAGAAATGCCTTATATGAATATGGTTATTATACAGGGTGACTGGTGAATTACTATCGATATTTGAGGACGTGGTAGTTGACGATCATATATGACAAAATAAAAATTAATATAACATAAATATTAATAAACTTCTAAGTAAAGTTAACCAAAAGTTATGTAATTAATTACGCATCGTGTGAACACCCTACAGATTAGGTATACACACACACTCACACATACGCGGCGGGGGCGTGGTTTTGTATCAGCACGCCGCCGCACACGTCCACACTTGGAACACTTGGAACGTGTCAACACTTTATTTATTTATACGGAAATTTTGTCAAAAATTAAGTACCTATTTTTTTTACATAATTCGAATGAGAATCATGTACCGAGTATTCTCCTTAAATATTGATAGTAATTCACCAGTCACCCTGTATATTCGAGAAATTTTCCCCTTAATTTATATCATCCACTAAATAGTATGGGTAATATTTATATTTATATAAAAACTAAATAAGTATAAATATATAATATAGCTGTTTGTTATAAGTAAGTCATACACAATGTTATTTGAAGTGAACAATACTTGCTTACCACATGGTCTGTCATAATGAAAACAAAAGATGCATACAATTTTGTTCTAGATAATATTTGCTGATTTTTTTTCAATTAAAAATCTGTCATTTTTGAGAATTCCAATATTCTAACTATGATAGAAGTTTGTCTTGAGTTAAAATTGCTTAGTAGGATAGTTATTGTAACTTTTATATAAAAATAAGTTTTCTCAGAAGAGATCAATATATTCCTCAAAATATATATTTTTTATTCATCTAGTTAGTGGATTTTGTTTGAGATTTATGTAAAGATATGAAAATAGATCAATGTGCAGAAAAATATGATTGGCCAAATGCTGGTTGTTTGAAAACATAAAAAAAATGATAAAACAATATATTACTATCTAAGCTTTTTAAAGTTACAGTCAAGTAATTTATTTAACGAAGACCTTAAAAAAATCACATTCAATAATACTTAATACAAAAATTAGATTTATGATACATTTCCATTTTAACATGTAATATTTATTTTTAGTCCGTTGCTTTTAGTGTTCTATTTACAAAATATGTTGGCTGTAATAATAATAGGATAAAATCTATATTGGTTAATGGTAAAATGTTAGATTATTTTTGTATATTTAGAAGTGTTATTTTATTGTCTTTATGATTAGTTTTCTGAGAAATCCTAAAAGGTACAAGTGGAAATAAATTTGGTTGATTACCATTTAGCCGATTGGTATGATATTTTCTTTTATTTTTTACTATAAATGTTTTTATAATATATTTTTTCTTATTCCCCTTTTCAACACACGTTTGCGTGAGTACATTAGAGTTGTGGGCTGCCTTTAACTGCCTGCCATTTAATTTCATGATGCATGTTATACGCTACACGGTCATTACGTGTCGGATATCGAAGAAAATTTTAAATCTAATTGTCACCTCATCCCACCGGCCCGCCCGTGGGGAAGGGCAGTCGGTGGTGGCTATCGAATGTGGAGTAATAATTATCGATGGTGGTGGTGGTGGCTAGCCAGTTGTCGTGTTCCCGCGGCTAGACCGTCAACAAACGGTCGCCCGGCAACCACTCATGACATATGCATGAGAGCTCTACAGACGACCGCCGGTTAAATATACAAGGACGGGAAAATTACTAGAGAGAGTCAAATAGAAGATGTCTCCAACCCGGCTGGCGGTAGCGTGCGGCACGCCTACCACCATAAGCAATTACCATCACGATACTATGGCTCGATGGTACTGTAGGTGGTTATTTTTACCACCTAACCACCGCGTCTTCATAAGTCATGAAGACGACCTCGTTGTCCGATTGAATGCATCATTGTAAATTCCCTTTGTTTATGTATGCACGACAAACGAGTGGGCGTGTACGTCGTTTACGAAATTAGAAATAATATTGGCTGGGACTTTAAATGAGGATAACAGTATCAAAAATAATGACATCTTAAATTTATGTAATTACATATCATATACATTTTTAATATTAGACGTCACAAACAAAACTCACTTGCCAATGCTCATTTTACCATAAATTAATACTAGTTTCTTGTCTTATTTTTATTTCTATGATCTATGGAACTCATTTATAATTTTCTATTATTATTTTTATTTCTATGCGCCATGGAATTAATTTTATATTTTTTCTAATAATAAGCTTATTAATTGGGCGTTTACCTGTACTGTCACATATCAAAAATTTGACTTATATGTATAACGAAAGCATCACGAATATTGATGTTCATAGTACAGACTATAGTAGTAAGTTGATAGTATAAAGTCTCAACAGAAGCTATTTTTACAGCAAATTCGGTTAAAAAATTGCTATATCAAGTACAGTAATGCTATAAATTTGTAGTTCCAATTTCAAATCATCATTCGCTTTTTGAGGTCAACCAAAAAAAAAGAAGCGTAAAATTTAATAATAAATCACGT